CAGGAGCCCAGGCCCCGCCCCTCCCCCTTCAGAACCAGGCGTCCAGCCTCCCACCCCTCTTCCCTCAAACCCAGGAGTCCAGCCCCGGCGCCCGCTCCCTGAGACCCAGGAGCTCCAGTTCCAGCCCCTTCCCAGGCCGGCTCACCCGCCCCAGCTCCAACTTCCCGTCCTCCTTGTCATCACCGGGCCCTGGGTCCTCGTCAGGCGCCCAGGCCGCCGCTGGCTTCCCGTGGAACTGGTAGATGCTCACGGCCTCCTGGCCCTCGATCTGGCAGCGGCAGAAGGGGCAGGTCTGGCTGTCCGAATGCTGGGGGTCGGAGCACAAAGGCCAGGGACTCCTCCCTGTCCTCCGGCATCGCCATGGCTCTTGGGCCCGGGAGGACATCCGCCCCCAACAGTGAGGTGGGGAGGACCGAGGGGGGGAAACGGAGGCGGAGGGGAGTCATGGGGAGATGGGGCTGGGGTGGAGATGCTGGTGGGAAGGTGGGAGGGGACTGGGCCAGAGCCCGAGGGTCAGGAGGGACCACAAGGCGGGGAGCCCCATGGAGCCCCGGCAACAGCTCCTGGCCTGGCCTCGACAGGGCTCTGTGGGGCCCTCCCTGCGGCCCCTGGGGGTCACTGTCATCAGGTCCATCATCCAGAGGAGAAGGCCAAGGTTCAGAGACGTGAAGCCACTGGCCCCGGGTCACCCAGCGAGGGAAGGAAGGAGCACTTTCCACTAATAATAGAGCCGGGGGAGGAGAAGTGGAGGCCATGCACGCGGAGAGAGATGGAAACAGAGGCACAGAGCTGGACTCAAGCCCCGGCTGGTCTCTGCCCTCTCTGGGCCTCAATTTCCCCATCTGATCAAGGAGGCACATGGGAGGTCCTCTCGGGGCTTTAGAGTTGAGAGGGGAGGCCAGGCAGGGTGGCTCACGCCTGTCATCCCAGTACTTTGGGAGGTTGAGGTGGAAAGATCACTTGAGCCCAGGAGTTCGAGACCAGCCTGGGCAACATAGCAAGACCCCATTACTACAAAGTAAAAAATAAAAAAATGAGCAGGGTGTGGTGGCGCATGCCTGTAGTCCCAGCTACTCAGGAGGCTGAGGCGGGAGGATCACCTGAGCCCAGGGAGTCGAGGCTGTGGTGAGCCATGACTGTGCCGTTGCCCTCCAGCCTGGGCAACAGAGTGAGACCCCAACTCAAAAAAAAAGGAAAAAAAAAAAAGAATCCTAGAGTAGATCTGACGAGAAGGCAGTGAGGCAGACGCACCTGCCAGGTTGCCAGGCAGCGGCTGCACAATAAGTGGCCGCACGGCTCAATCCTCACATCCTTGTTGCTCTCTGCGCAGATCTTGCAGAGCTCGAACGTGGAGTCCATGGCCCAGTAGAGCTGCAGCTGCTCCTGGCAGGGGAGAGGATGGCGGGGACAGGAAAGGGGGAGAGTGCCAGCCACAGGCACACAACTCGGGCCACAGGAAGAAGGCCTAAACCTCTGTGCCAGCCCTGAGCCCTCTCCCCAAGTTCCAGTTTGGTGTGTCCAACTGCCTCCTCCGTGCCACCACTCCTTGCCATGAGACTCCTTCTCTGGGGTGTCTACACTTTTTTTTTTTTGAGTCGGAGTCTCACTCTGTCACCCAGGCTGGGGTGCAGGGGCATGCTCATGGCCACTGCAGCCTGGATCTGCTGGGCTCAGGTGATCTTTCCACCTCAGCCTTCCAAGTAGCTGGAGCTACAGGCACATGCCACCACGCCCAGCTAATTTCTTGATTTATTGTAGAGATGAGGTCTTGCCAAGTTGCCCTGGCTGGTCTCGAACCTCTGGACTCAGGCAATCCTCTCACCTCCGCTTCCCAAAGTGCTAGGATGACAGGCGTGAGCCACTGCGCCTGGCTTGTCTATACTTTTATGTGCCAGGCTTAACAAATACAAATACCAGATGCTGATACATTTGAATTTCAGAAGAATGGTAAATAGAGTTTGAAGTAAGGCATGTATCCCAAATATTGCATGGATACACTTATACTAAAAAAATCATCCAGACCAGGCACAGTGGCTCACCACCTGTCATCCTAGAACTTTGGGAGGCCAAGGTGGGAGGATCACTTGATCCCAGGAATTCAAGATCAGCCTGGGCAACATAGCAAGACCTATCTCTACAAAAAATAAAAAAAATCATCTGGGCATGGTGGCATGCACCTGTAGTCACAGTTCCTTGGGAGGCTAAGGCAGAAGGATTGCCTGAGCTCAGGAGATCGAGGCTCGGTGAACTGTGATTACGTCCCTGTGCTCCAGTCTGGGCGACAGAGCGAGATCCTGACTCAAAGAAAAATAAAAATAACCGACTACCCACTGCCTCCCTGTCACCCGTGCGGTGGCCATGTCGATTAAGAGCGGGCACTGGGCCGTCGCTGGCAAATGCTCAGTACATTAGCTGTTCTGATGTCTCAGCAGCTCTGATTTCTTGTTTAATCCCCGTGATAATCCCTGCGAGAGAGGCAAGAAGAGCTATATTTTCCAGAGGATTAACCGAGCCTCAGAGAGGCCAAGTGATTAGCTCACGGTCACACAGCCAGCGCCAAGCCAGTATGCCTGCCCCAGGCGTCCGAGCCCAGGTGGAGGAGGTGGTGACAGGTGCAGGCCTGGGTCTCACCTGGGACACGTGGATGCGCTGGTGAGGTTCTGGCTGGCAGAGCTCGGTCAGGTCTGGGTTGTGGTTCTTGCCATCGGGGTAGAGGTAGCTGGGGCGGGCAGAGAGGGGGATGAGGTGCCACCTGCCACCTCCCACCCCGGGCTGAGGAGGACACTCATCCCCCACCCAAGGCTCCCAGCAGGAGGGAGCCCCAAAGCCACGCTGGCCTGGGACCTTGTCCTTTTTCCTTCCTCACATTGCCCCTCCCCAGGGCAAGTCGTGTCCCCTCAGAGCCCCAACGAAGGAACATGAAACCGAAGTGACTCCAGCCTCGACCTGGTGGCCTCAGCGGATCCTCCTGCCTCAGCCTTCCGAGTAGTGGAACCACAGGTGTGCACCACCATGCCCGGCTAATATTTTGATTTATTGTAGAGATGAGGTCTGGCCAAGCTGCCCGGGCTGGGCTCAGGCAATCCTCTCGCCTCGGCCTCCCAAAGGGCTGGGATGATGGGTGTGAACCACCACACCCAGCTGTGATTCGAGCTTGGGGAACAAGGGTCACACCAAACGAGAAGCAGGAAATGGATGGAAATTTTGGGCTCAGCCTTCCCAGAATCTCACCCTTCACCTGCAGGCCTGAGTATAACAGATTTTCTGTTCTTCTCTCTCTCTCCTTTTTTTTTGAGTTGGAGTCT